ATAAATTTATAACATAATACTATGTTTTTTAAACAAAACTAATTTTTAAATCTATTTTGATGGGAACCACATTACCACCTTTGTTCTTTTTCGACTTATTATACAATGTCGTCACATTTTTATAAATATCGTGTTAAGTAATAAATAATCCATAATTTTTTAGTTTAGAGTCGATTGAACAATACTTTGAAGAATGTAATCGTCCAGTTTTCAACTTAAAATATTAATTATTAACAAAGTTATTGTACAAAATGTAAAAAGGGTAAAGAGCCATAATCTCTCCTCCACATTTGCAATCAAGACTCGATTGAAAAATTTAGGTCACAACAACTCACAATCAAACAACACATAACATTTATGAAATATTTAAAAAATTTATACATTAAATATTTTGTAAATATTCAAATGTCCTGGAAAGTCAGGTATAAGAAAGATTATGATAAATATTCAGAAATATTTATGAAAATATTTGTCATAAGTAATAAAAACATGATTTCACTTAAGTAAAGCCATGCTTTAATTATTTATGAAAAATATTTTTCATGAATATTTTTGAATATTTATCATAATCTTCTTCGTGCCTGACTTTCCCGGGGACGGGGATAAATATTTATAAAATATTGAATATTTATATTTGTAAAATATTTTATAAATATTGTGTGCTCTCTGGACAGGCTACACTCGAATCTGAGTATTTCACATTACGACAGGTTTCAAATAACGACTATTGACACAGACCTAAAATATGTGGTGTGTTCTTTTTAGCTGAACTGGCTGCACTGGCTCGAGGAATTTACACACACATTGAAGCGTATGAAGCATGCGTGCGAGATCCCCACACTTTAGTGTGCGTACATTTCTTAAACTAATTAACATCCAGTTCAACTAAAAGAAACGGAAACCAATATATATATAGAGACGCCCGGAGAACGTCTGAAACAAATAGAACATCTCCGAGACATCTTTTGGACATTTGCGTTGTCTAAAAAGTTACATCGCAAGTAAATATTTCTTCTCTCGGAATTACGCACCAAGTTCCTGCGGAAAGTCAGACAGGCCGAGCGGCTGAAGGGGATCGAAAATGCTGGTCAAGACAGCTCTGTCGCCTTCGCTGAGTCCCTCCATGATGCCGACTGAAATCCTCTCACGAGATCTCACCGTCTCTGCTTATCGTCGGCCACGACCAAACTCCGTAGAACTCGTTTTCTGTTTATCGTCGTGCGACGTGAATTAATCGTATTACGTCACGCGACTAATAGGCCGAGTCGGAATGTTACCTGGCGTGCGTGGATCGCCTGGGAGTTCCCGCACTTTGCCTACAGACATCGACGAGCGAGATTGTAGGTGTAGGTGATGCTGCCGGCCGGTAGTCGATACCTGGTCGATTACACGAATTTTGAGCGAAGAAATGCGAGGGAATCTCACCGATGCGAGAAGGTGATTCCGTCGAGCGCCGATTATAAATCTTTACGCGCAGCTGGATCCTCCTCCTCCGACTCGGCGAGGATGCCGTTTCCCCAGGGGACACGCAACGCGTGGTCGTTGACGAATAAAAAACAACAAGCGATTCCCCTAATCACGACTAATTCATTTCAATTAACGTCCGACGGCGATTTGTCTCGCCGCACGCATGAGACTCGCTATGGATGCATTACACGCAAAAATGCCGGGTCGCGCTATGTGTGTCAGGCAGACTCGGGCGGCTAATTAATTTCGGGAATCCCTCGTAAATTGCGCGCGAGTGAACATCCGGGAAACGTATTCGCGAGCAATCGTTTATATTTCACATGCTGCGCATGCGATTGTAATTGTAAACAGGCGGTTTAACACGTTCGCGCTTTAATTGAAAGTCGCTCGCTACAGCGCATTGTTTACACACACATACGCACTGAGATTTCTTCAGTAACTACGTAATATAGTGCATATTCACATTTATGTACGCATAAAATGTGTTAAACAGGCAAATTGAGTATTTCGCATAACGTGTCGCACATGTATGAAATGACAGTAAGGTAGTTTGAAATCAGACGAATACTGGGTTGATACAAATGTTGATCCTGTTTTTTAATCAAAGTGTACATATAATATTTGTTTATTTTAAAATACAATCAAAGAAATATGCGTCGTTTTTTGTACGATATCTGTCATTTCTCCGATATCTGCATGATCCCGCGTAGAAATTCTACAATTTCTGAGCGAAGAACTGATTAAAAAACATTATACATAGACATATACATATATGTTTATATATATATATATATTTATATATTTATACATATATTTTTTTATATATTCCTATATATATATATATTTATATGTATATTTTTTATATACTTTTGCATAATTAACATTTTAAACGCAGATTAAGGCTCCTGAATACTCACTATGGCTGTACTTTTTTGATGACGTCAGAAACGAGGAAAAACATGTCAATTTATGTGATGATATATATGGAAATAAAAAAATATACGCACAAAACAACACTCGTAATCCGAACGTTTTGTTTTTTAACCTGAACAATTTATTAATAGCCGTAAATTAGTATAACATGCAACTTACGTTTTTAACCTTCCTATCTTATAACCTATCCTTTCTTATGATTTCTATTACGTTAATTTTAATGCTAAATGGGAGTTGATACCTTCAGAATCTAAATTTTCGTTCTACATTAAGTCTTCAAGTGGAGAAAGTAGCAATAACTCTCCCATTTGTAGTACCAAAAGGACACAATGGAAAACCTTTGAACACTTAACGTAAAACTAAATCAAGCTTAAACTAGGAATAAAATTTCGACTCAGATAGAAGTAAAATTTCGACTCGGTAAGATGTCAACGTCCTCGCGGCGGACCATCGTCTCGGCGGACTTCGAGGACGATTGACAGGCGCGTAATCGCGCGGACAATTTGTCTTTCGTGAAAATCAATGGGCACCGCCGCTTCTCCCGCCTGCTCACGTCCTGACGTCTCCCTGTTCCCCCGTCCCTCCTCGTTACGCCTCGTTTTGAGCGCATCGCGCAACGGGGGGCCCGATTTTTCGTCATTTTCTTCTCCGGGAAACGACGACGCGACGCGCCGCAAAGCGCCCTGCGACTTTACCGTTAAACGTCGGCGTCTTCGCCGTTTTCCCACGAGCGGAGGCGCCGAGGAAGCGCGAGGGATTTTCCCCGTCACGGAAGCCCATCACGCGGCCCAAGCCGACGACTTCTCCGGTCTCTCTGAGAGCTCGCGACTTCGCGGAGAACGCGACCGTGAGAGATATCGCCTCTCTCGCCCTCCCGCGCGGCCCTGAAGACCATGTCGAACGCGAGGATCGTGACCCAGGATTCGGACCGTGTAATTGCCGGCTGGACTTTTTCCGTTCTTCTTCTTCTCCGGGGCCCGGCATCCTTCGAAATCTCGCGTGGATCCGTATCGTAGATCAAAGCCATCCCAACGCGCGGCCGTCTCTCTCATGCGCGCAATGACCACTCTTACGTCGAGGAGGGAAACGCGGAGGTGGTCGCTCGTGAGCGCGCTCCTCGGACAGCCGTGACGATCTACAAATCGCCTATCAAATCGCGTCATCGTGGTAGTCGCGAAGGCATTCGCGGGAATCAACGATTACACATCTGAGAGATATTATGCTTATTTTCGGCCTCGATTATATTTCAATGGATTTAACCGCAAAATAATAATAATAATAACATGCATGCAAGGTTATCATCGCATTGCACTGCGATAAAATATTTTCGTATTTAATTTAACACAATTCACGTGTCCCAAACGACCCGTTCAAATATTTGTATTAATTCAACGCAAGGTGAGTATATCGAAAAGTAACACAAACATTATGTCAAAAATTAACATAAAATTAATACGTTAGTCGATACCGAAGCATAAAATGTGTTATTTTAACTCCTATATATGTTAAATATGTATGTGACATGACATAAAATATTGAAATGTTGACGTTACATCAACATAATATGTTAAATTAACACACGTTTGTATGTTAAAAGTTTAACACAAAAATATTAACAAGGGCTGATTTTAATACAAAATATTTTTTTATTGCATGTAATAAGACTTTTTAGTAAAATGGTTCTCCTGACTATAATTCTTTCATTACCATGATAGAAATTTCATGCGTTTCTTGAGCAATTATTGGACAGTTAACTCCTGTCTAATAATTAAAATAAAACTACTTGAGATTCGAATCAAGATGTAACGCTTCTCCTGCAGTTACTGCTTACAAAAGATGTGCAAAATTTGAACCCATTTACTGAACGAAAAAATAAACAAAACTATTCAATTGATTAATATTACAAAGAAAAAAGTGCTACATTTAAATAAATAATTACTCCGCTACTATTTAGCAAATTTTTATTTGGATTAACTAATATTTACTTGATCCAAATAAAATTTATTTAATCTAAATAAAAATTTGTTAAGGAGTATTGGAAAAATTATTTACTTGAATCTAGCATTTTTTTCTATATAGACAATAACTTGACAGGTGTCTACGCAATATATTTATACTACACTGAGAAAGAAAGACTTAAAAATTTATTTGTAAAATATAAGGTTTATTTCACAGAAATAAACGTTTATTTAAATATGACAAAATAAAATTTTATTCCTAACAAATAAACCAATTAACCCTTAAATGCATTAATTTTTTTTATTGCTGAATTATTTTTTTTAGGTTCATAGGTAGTCCCAGAAAATGAGGAAAATATTTTAAAAAATCTAAGTAAAAAAATTCTCATTATTTTCAAAATTTTTCGTACTTGCAAAAATGCAACATTGTGTACAAAAGACATTTTGCAGTATAACTTTGAACTGTATACTTAAAGCAGATTGTTGCAAACATGCAACTATGAAGCGTTATAAATTATAAATTATTCCTGAGGATGAGTATTTTATATGTGGAAAAATAAATATGTTGCAAATTTGCAACACTATGCATTTAAGGGTTAATAAGAAAATTTAAATATATTTCACAAAAATATTTTGTCATCACGGTCAAACTTTTTTCTAATCAATAAATATAACATAAATATAACGAAAAAAATATCACACAAAGAAACATTTACTTCGCAAAATTTCAATTTCCTTTTCTCAATGTAGGAAAACTGCTTCAGTCACTGAATAAAACTCTATCAAGTTCATTTCCAACGTAATATTGTTATAACTAATGAGAATGTATTAATATTACACTGAGAAAAAAGTACTTAAAATCATATTTGTGAGATATAAAGTTTATTTCTGTGAAATAAACTTTATTTCTTAGAAATAAACCTTACTTGTGTGGGACAAATTTTATAATTCGACAAATAAATTTTTAAGTACTTTTTTCTCAGTATAGACAGTAACTGGCTGTCTACGGAAACTACATACATTTCTACCACGATATCATGATTACAGTGTTAGAAAGGCCAAATATTTCTCTCTCAGTGCACCGAGAAAACAATGTTTAGTACATTTACAGTACAGTACAATGACTATAATTGCACGGTGAAATAATTACAGTCAGAAGAACCACTCTCGTAGTAAGTGCTGCCATAATGTTAGCAATAACAACATTGCACATTGTACATGCATATTGTCGTTATTACCGCTATTGAAACGATCAAAAACATGGTTAACGTCGGGAATGACGACGTAGTTTGAGTAAAATTGGCCATTTTTTCTTCAAATGCGCGAGGCAGACGTTTGAACGTTGAAAGACGAGGGTGTTAAAAAAAGTATTACGCTCCGTCACACGCGATATCCGCGCGACGATATCGGACACGCACCGTTTTCTCGCTCTCTATGCGACGCGTCGCGATAACTCGCGAGCTCGCAACCGCAAAAAACGCGGAGCGGTTCAGCGCATTACAATACCACCGGGCCCCCGTGTGTCGTAATGGAATAAATATTTCATTTGGCGCGTACAGTTCTCCGAATAAGTGAGTGAGAGAGGAGAGAAAGAGAGAGTGAGAAAGGGGAAAAGAGGGAGAGAACGCAGACCGAGCAGTCAGCATACGGCGTCGTGGTCGAACCGCGCTTTTTCTTCCTCGGCGCAGTGGCGAAGTGCAGCGCGCTTACGTCCCTCAGCTCGCGAGGCGCGCGCGGGGCCGAAGGGCCCCGTCACGACGGCGAACTTAACGGCCCATAATTCATTGCCGACGTATAATAAATATCGTTAGTCCGTCGTGAGCGCGCGTAGACACGCGGAGAGCGGCCAAGAGAGAGAGAGAGAGAGAAAGCCGAG